CTATATTTTAGTTGTAATTTTGTTGTGGTTGTGCAAAGTGGGGAGTCACGTGTGTCTATGCCACCATCTTGACCAGAAGTTCTGTTTCCTTGTTTTATGACTTTTAGATTTTTTAAAAATAAAAACCTCTATGAACCTGTAGCATAAAGTAGTGATTTCTGTCTCTATTGCATGTCATGATTATTTGTTAGAGTTGATTAAAAACATGGTATTTTAGGTCCTACCTCCAGAGAGTTTTAGTTGCTTTATGGGTAATTTACATGAGCTGTCTGGGTTGAAAAACCTTTGGCTTTGATGAATTATAGAATGAAAAACTATTTTTTAAAGACAGTATATTTGCAGTAAAAAGCATTTAAGGCAGGTTGGTAAAAATAAATAATAAGGAATATAGCTCTGGCTGACGTGACTTAGTGGATTGAGCACCAATCTGTGAACCAAAGGGTTGCAGGTTCAATTCCCAGATCAGGGCACATGCCTGGGTTGCGGGCTGGCTCTCCTGCAGGGGGTGCATGAGAGGCAACCACACATTGATGTTTCCCTCTCTCTTTCTCCCTCTCTTCCCTGTCTAAAAATAAATAAAATCTTAAAATATATATATATATATACACACAATATTATTCATCTCCTATCTTATCTTTAAAAGATAACCATTGTTAAATCTTTTGTTTATTTATACATTTTATGTACATACATAAACATAGTTTTTTAAACAAATAGGATCAAACAATATGTACCATTTTGACTTGTTTTAACTTAGTTAATATATTCTAGACATCTAGGAAAGTTCATTTGTCATACATAATAACTTTTCCAAGGATTAAAATCAAAAGCACAGAATATAATTTCTGAGTGAGTTGGCAACCAGGGCTGATGACAGATGCAGATTACAAGCAGGACTATTTCTGGTATTGTTTGGAGGCTGGAACAAATTACCTCTCCTACCTCTTATCCCTGTAAAAAGTAAACAAACACACTGCAAAAATCCAGGCAAAACTAGTTTAAGATGAAGATTATGGACAGCCTTGAATAGGGAAAAATAACCAGGGCGTCATAAGATATGCCCAGGCAGAAAGGATATTTCTTCCATGTAATTAAAGCAATTGTATGGATGGCATGCTTCAGGATTTCCATTCTTTGCATTGTGTTTTTAAAATTTTGCTTTGTATTTGTTTAGCACCAGCAAAGGCTCCCTCTAGCTTCCTCCTTTCCTTGTTGCTTTATTGCCAGAAGCTTGGATTAGGAGTGGTATAGATGGAAAGAAAAACCTGTGGGCCTCTCTCTGTATGTTCAAGTTAGCTGTAGGATCTAGATAGTTAAAGGAAAGGTTGTGATATTTAACTCCTATCCTCTTAGTACTTATTCTTCCTCTAAGGTTTTTGAGCCTCTCTTTTGGCTCTAAGGATCCTGCATTCTTTTCACCTGAACTAACACAGTAGGTTTCCTGAGTTTGCCAATAGTGAGTAGAATTTGGACTGACTTGTTTATCCAGAGTAGATCAAGATATTCGGAGGCTCTGTTCATCGACAGGGTTGTGTTAAAATATCAGGTAATTGTAAATAATAGTAATAACATGAAACCTAAATTCATTGCACATATTTTCAATGGAGTTTAATTTTTTTCTTGATAAATAGCATGATTTTTTTAGAAAAGAGAAAGAAACATAAAAGTAAATTTGAGTTTAGGTACTTTGTACTCAGTCAAGTTTAGAGATAATCCTGGACTGGTCATTAGAAGACCATTTAAGATTCCATTTTAGTTGTATAATTCTTTGATATCTTAGGGTTTTATAAAACATTAATTTTAAAATTTACTTCTAATTATTATGATAGGTAAATTTATTGTTGAGGTCAATAGCTATATAGTCAGTAAGCAAAGAGTATTACTTGATAGTGTCAAATAATCTCACAGTGTGAGAGTATAGTGTGAAATATAAGTCAAGAAATTTATATTCTACTAGTATTACAAGAACAACAAAGAAAACTGCTTCTGGGGGTTTGGCCTGATAAGCTGTTAGAAGTGGTCTTAGGATACAAGGCAAATTGTTGACTTATTAGGATTACATTCTGTTGCAGAGCCTTTCCTTTTCTTAGAGCATCACCTCCCTCCACAGCAAATGATTACTCCCTTATGTTCTCTATTAGGTTCACTTTGGAAAATTATATCTTTTTAATACAAATTTTATCTTCTGAGCAAGGTAAGCCTTTTTGTCTTTAATGCATTTATTATAAGTTGAAGCCATTTGATTGAGAGTAATAGCACTAAAGCACTATTTCCCTGAAAACTAGAAGAGAAAAAAACTTTTAAAAGGCAAGCTTTGTCTATTTTTCCTTAATCACCAGCATCTATCTCTTACACCATTGAGAAGCATGCATGGTGCTTTATTGTACATAGAAAGATGTATCAGGTGTCTCCCATGAAATGATTTTGAATGATGTGAGTTCATTCTAAGTGTCAGTTCTTAAGAATTTGGTATCTTCCTTCTTTTTCTTAAACAAAATTTACTTTTTTGAAGATAATTGTAGATTTACATGCAATTGTAAGAAATAACAGAGAGATCCTATGTACTCTTCACCCTCTTGGAACATCTTGGAAAAGCACAGTATAATATCAAAACTGGGATATTAACATTGATGCAATCCACCAAACTTTTTCAAATTTCACCAGTATTGTACACTCGTACTCATTTGTGTGTATGTATTTAGTTGTATACAGTTTATCACCTTTATATGTATCCACCATCACAGTCAAAATACAGAAAAGTTATATTGCCACAGAAATCCCTAGTGTTACCCTTTTATAACCACACCTCCTTCCTTTCTCAAGAGAGATTTTTGTTTGTTTTGTTTTTAAATGCCTAGTCATTTTTAGTCTTGACTTAAAACAATTTTTTAAAAAAATTCTATACATATATTTTAAAATTTTTATTTAATTTTTTAAGTGTGGTAAAAATATCCAACATAAAATTTGTCATCTCATCCATTTTTAAGATTGCAATTCAATAATGTTACTTCCATTCATACTGCTGTGCAGTGGCTCTCCACATCTTTTTCATCGTGCGAAACTAAAGCAACACCTCCCCTTTTCCATCTTTCTCAGTGCCCTGGCAACCACCATTCTATTTTCTGTTTCTGTGAATTTGACTACTTTAAATACTTCATATAAGTGGAATCAAACAGTATTTGTCCTTGTGGTTGGCTCATTTTATTTAACCTAAAGTCCTCAAGGTTCATCCATGTTGTAGCATGTGACAGGATTGCTTCCTTTTTAAAGCTAAATGATATTCCATTGTATGTGTATACCATATTTTGTTTATTGATTCATTATCTGTGTATACTTGGGTTACTTCCACCTCTTGGCTATTGTGAATAATATTGGTATGAACATACATGTACAAATTATCTCTTCATAATCCTGCTATCAAAATTTTTGTATATATACCTGGAAGGGGAATTGCTGCATCATATGTAGTTCTAGTTTTATTCTTTTGAGGAAACACCACACGATTTTCAATAGTGGCTGTATCATTTTACATTCTTATTAGCAGAGTATCATTGTACTTTAATGACATTTGAATAAATAAGATTTAATTAATCAATTTTTGTTTTATTTTCTGATTTTATTCACTTTTACACTCGATAGAGTGAATACTAGCGCAAATAGCAGATGAAATATTTTGCATTAGAGAATGTTTGTATACCAAGGATGAGTCTCAAGGTGATGTGTAAACACTTGAGAGTCAGCTCTTTAAATTGTAGATAATAGCAACCTTACTGAACTAGTTTAAACAAAAAGAGGGATTTTATACAAGGAAACTGGGACTGAATCTAAGGATGGTAATGTGGCAGGGCCTTAGAAATCACTAAAATGGGACTTGATTGTCTCTTATCTTTGATGGATCTATTTTTCTTTCATTGTGTATCACATGGTGATGAAATGGCAGTTTACAAATCCTGCGCCCTTCAGTTTCAGCCTTCCAAAGATTGAGGTGCTCAGTTGGTCCCAACACAGAACTCCTAGGGGAAGGGGATGACTGGCGGGGCTGGGGCCAATTGCCTGCTCTGATACACCTGACCACAAACATGGCCAGGAGAATGGAGCCAAAGCAAGGACCCAGCATATCTATGGAGCTAGGTGGGTTGACTGGGAGGCCACCAGTTGTCAGAAAGAAAGGGAGTGAATGCAAGAGAGACCTAATGAAAGCTGTACTCATGAACTCTTTATAAACTAAACTTCAATGAATAGTAATTGAAGATATATTGAAGAATAATGGAACTTGAAAAGTTTTGGGTAAGGACTATTAAAATGACCTGAGGCAAAGACTTCTTAATAAAATTTTAAAATTATGACTGTTTAGTAGTATATAAAAAGTTGAGAGCCAAGAGAGAAATTAACTGAAATTCTTAAAATTATAAGCGATAAATTAATTGACTAATGTCTGGAATGATGTAAATTAAGAGATGGATTTTTAAATGTCTTAACACTGTTATTTAGTATAGAAAATAGAAAATTACATATCAAAGAGCAATAAATTAACTTATATAATTTACTTTGAAGATTTGTAAGTATATTATGGATATATATATGGGCATAGGGGTATATGAGTAATATATGGGTATACCCATATACTTAATATATATAGATATATTATGGGTATATGATGAGTATATACATATATATAATGGGTATATGAGTATATTTGTAAGTATAGTATCAGACAAATTGATGTATTATGGCTACATGAGGGAGACATTTAGAGGAAATTAATGTGTAGCCTTAATCTTTGAAGTCATGGAGGAAATTACTTTCCCATCAAGCATTAGCAATGATAATAATCATTAAAATTTATGTAGTACTACTATGTGTCAGGCACTGTACTAGGCATTTTTTTTATCTGTTATCTCATTTAACCTTTTCTAAACCATGGGTGCTCACAGTTTGTTAAATTGAGTTTTCTAAGATGTTTTCCAGGAGAATTATTAACACTGTGCTTTTCCTTTCAGAGATGTGGTATTGGATCTTTCTCTGGGCTCTCTTCTCCTCTCTGTTTGTCCATGGTGCTGCAGGAGTGTTGATGTTTGTGATGCTGCAGAGGCATAGGCAGGGGAGAGTAATCTCTGTCATTGCAGTCAGCATTGGATTTCTGGCTTCTGTAACTGGAGCAATGATTACTAGTAAGTTGATTTTGTTTTGTTTAAGGACAGAATTTTATATGCATTTATGGTTTTGGTAATGTTATTCTTATTGTAACTGTAACATGTCATCTTTTCAGCACTAATCACACTTCACCTAGAAGGTAAAGATCAGCTTATTTATTCATTGAAATGGTTTGTGTACTTCTATGTGAAGACTCATGTTTTGTGGGAAATGCAAAAACTTGTAAGAGTTGACGGGGGGCAAAGCATTTCATGGGAAAAATTATCTTATAATGTGTGTGGTTTCTGCCTAAAGGAGCTCACTATCTCATAAGGGAGAAAGATAGTCACACAAATATGATGGTGATAACTGTCCTTAAAAAGAGTGAAAATACAGCCCCTTGGTCATTGATGTCATCTGCCTATAACTACAAAATGAAATTGCACTTCCTTCTTATATACCAATTTATGACACAAATCTCCCCAGGCCTACTAGAAATTCATCACTTTAGATGCCTTCTAGCTATTTGCAAGGTTTCTCCTGTGCTGCCTCGTGTATTTCGTGCCAGGCCTCAGGTTCATTCCCTCTGGCCCTCTCCTCTTCACACTGTCTTTAGGCTCCAACTCTAGCCTTAAGTTCAAAGAATATTTCTGGTTTCTGCTGTGCTAGTGGAGCTAAAACTTCTCCACCCACCTTGAGACTGGAGGGTGCCACAACTGCTTCCTTAAGCAGTCCTGCCGGAAACTGGCTACTTGTCCATGCTGCTGCTGATTCTGTCAGTGCTGCTGAGTAACAGAGACTTATGTTGGCCTTTGCTCCTGGCCTGCTTCCAAATGTCTGGGGCAGCCCCACTGCCACCACTGGGTCTGTTTTCAGACTCAAAAAGGACTTTTTACTTTCTAGTTGGCTTCTAGCCCCAGAGATCAGAGGAGGTCCTTTTCTTCTATAGCTCTAAGGCCTCTCCTTCTGTGTTCCACACTCACAGTTTCCCAGAGGGGTTGGCATGACTTGTCTTGAGAGGAAAGCCCTGTTCCCATGTCTCTGGGTATGTCTGTGGTACTAATAAGACAATCATAAAATGGTTGTGGGAAGTAGCTGGTTGTTTCCCTTCTTCATTTACGATTGTGTGTGTGTGTGTGTTATCTGGTATTAGGTTTTTGTTGTTGTTGCTGCATTCATCCTGTGGCTTTATCATATGGTTCCCAATCCATTTTGCCATAGATACGTTTAAAACAACTGTCCAGGTTTAGCTGAAGCATAGCATATGCATAGTGACATAGTAGGAGATTCCGCTGGAAAGATAGAATGGAGCCAAATCCTAGAGGATCTTGGAAAGCCAGCTGGAAAGTGCTGTAGGCTGTGGAAAACAAATAGATATTTTTGCATAGGGTTGGCAAGGGGCAAAGCAGTTCAATGGGAAAATGTGTTTTATAGCTGAATATAGAATATATGTGAGGAACCAAGAGAAAACTCTGGAAGAGCAGGGACCTTATCTATTTTCATTGCTGCTACATCCCCACAATAAAACACTATTTGGAATATAAGAGATACTCAAAAAATACTGGTTGGATGGATGGATGTAGTGAGGGAGGAAGAGCAGAGGAAAGGAAGAAAGAAAGGATAGAGAAGAGGGGAAGCAAAAGGGGAAGAAGAGGAATTAAGAGGCAATAACTATAATTTAACCATGAGGCTGGGATTTGAACTAGAGTGGTGGCAGTGGATTGGAAAAGGACTTAATTTTAGGACTATGGCCAAGGGGGGGAAATCCAAATTAGTGATTACTTATTTACTTTGGTGGAGTGCAGAGAGACATGAAGGGGACTGCCAGTGGTTTTGATGGGGACCGCTGTGGTGGTCATAGGACAGTGGACCAGGGAGGGAAGAAGGGAAGTAGCATGTGTATTTATTGGTACAATTTTTAAAACATTTTAAGGAAATGTCATTCTACTTCCATTTATTTCAGCGATAAATGTACATATGCTACCTACTTTCAATTCAGTCAAGAATAAAATCAGCCAATGATTTTAGAAACTGTAGTGTTATAGTTTAAAATTCTTGAAAATACAAGTCTGACACAATTTCAAGTAAATAGTATGTATCCAGGTTAGTAATAAAACATTTAAATTTATTCTGGCTAATTTCTGACCTGCAAACACTTAAATTAAGAAAACTAACTAATGTAAATATTTAACTAAATTTTCTTAATGTAATTTGTGAGTGTCAGAGCACTCATAGCTTTTTATTCAGTGCAGCAAATGATTCTCGTATATCTTTGGTGAATAAGATAGAATATCGATATATGTCTATTATACTGGGTCCAGCACAAATGATGTCCCCTTTTTATTACAAAATCATAAGCACATAATTCTGTAACATAACAATATCACACTCAAGCATACCATATGATATTTTAGGTGAAATGTTCAAATTAAAACTATAATTATTACACACATATTGTTTCCCTACCAACCACACTCAAGCAGGTGTCACTTCTGCTAGACTTTGTATTTAGCTATTTCTTAGATTTTATTGCCAAAATAGAGTGATTTTCCCATTTTCGTTAGTATAGATAATTAGTACCACCAATAGGAGAAACTGGGTTTCTCTGCAGTGCCCTCATGACATTTTACAAGGTGGGGCAAAGGTAGGTTTGCAGTTTGTATGGAAATAATACAGTAATTAATAAATAATGACACAAGAATAAACTCTGTTTCACATAATCACAACTGTGAAGCTACTTTTGCCCCACCCTGTATATCTAATTTTGACGAGGCATAAAGTGACACCTTGCTGGTTTAATTTGCATTTCTCTGATTACTGAATTAATTAGAACATCTCTTTCTATACTTATTATATATTTGGATTTCCTTTTATGCAAATTGCTTCTTTAAAGTATGTGCCTACTTTTCTTTTGGGGTTCTGTTTCCTTCTTATGAAATTACAGGTGTTCTTAAATGTTGGAGATGTTGTTCTCTTATTGGCATTGGACTCTGCAAAAACTTCCAGTCTTTTACCTGTCACCTTTATCCATGATGTTATTTATTGGGCAGAAATCCTTAATTTCTTCACAGTCAGCTAAAAGATTTTTTGCCTTTTGGTTTGTAATTTAGAGTTTTATTTAATAATTTTCCCCCACAATAAGGTCAAAAGATTTTTGATATATTTTCTTCCATTAATTTTATAGTTTTGCCTTTTATATTAAAGTCTTTACTTCACTGAGAGCATGGATCAGCAAGTATTTTCTTGAAGGGCCAAATAGTAGATATTTTAAATTTTGCAGGCCAGATGGTCTCTGTCATAACTATTCAAGTTCGCCATTTAGTATGAAACTTGTCATAGACATAAGTAAATGAGTAGGCATGGCTTTTTCAAATAAAACTTTATATACAAAAACTGATGTCTGGTATTCAGGTCCTAATTTCCCCCCTGGTCCAGAGTCTAACTTTGTATTTGGTATTAGATAGAATTCCAGGTGCCTTTTTTTTTCTCCCATAGAGGAAGTAAATTTTTACCATACCGGCTACTAAAATATACATTTCTTCATTGATTTGTGGCACCACCTTTTTGTGTATTATGTTCTCAAGGTACATATATGTCTTTGAACTCTGTTCTAGTTTGTTGATCTTTTTATCTGTTCTTGCAGCAAGGCCACATTTTTTCATCCTCATGGTTTTGTAATACAGGCAGATCTCATTTTATTACACTTTACTTTATTGCACTCCACAGATGTTGCATTATTTTACCAATTGTAGGTAAAGCCTCCCCCAGCAAAAAGATCATGACTTGCTTTATTGCAGTATTTGCTCTATTGGACTAGACTGGAACCAAACCCACAATATCTCTGAGGTATGCCTGTATTTCTTTCTTTTTTAATCCTCACCCAAGGATATGTTTATTGATTTTAGAGAGTCTGGAAGGAAGAGAGACAGAGAGAGAAACATTGACTGGTTGCTTCCCCCCACACCCTTCCCTCCTTAACACAACTTGACCAGGGATTGAACCTGCAACCCAGCCAGGTATGGGCTCTGACTGGGAATAGAACCTGCAGCCCTTTGATGCAAAGGATGATGCTGCAACCGAGCCACCCGGCGAGGGCATGCCTGTATTTTTTAGTATCTGATAGGGCTAGTTCCCCCTCATTTCTCAAAGGTAACATAGCTGTTCATGGATTTCGATTCTGTCAGGTAAATTTTTAAAAATGTCTATTGAGTTTCTCAAAAAGTATAACATTGATTTTTATTGAGATTTAATTCAATTTAGAGGTTAATATGAGAAGAATGGCATATTTAATTCATCCACCTAAGAACATGAAATATATCCCTCTTCAGATCAAATTGTGTGTTTTGTTGGAGTTTAAAAATGTTTTTCTCCAAAGGAGGGTTGCATATTTTGATTAAGTTATTTCCTAAACTCATTGTGTTGTGGTTGCTGTGCATAGACTGTATCTCTTTTGATTATATTGTTTAGTTTTATCCGTGTAGAGAGATGCAGTTAAGTTTTGTATGTTGAGTTTATAAAAGATTAGAAAGCAGAAACACTGGTTCTTTGCAAAGTTAATAAGATGCATAGATTGCTAATTAAAAATGAAGACAGAAAAGTAAAATATAAAGCAAAATAGAAGAAATAAGCGCATATCCAATAATAAAGATAGGATAAAGAATTATTAAAGTAGCATAGTTTTGTAACAGCTATATATTCCTAAATATAAAAAAGCAAAGTTAACATAAGAAGAAATAGGAAATATGAGTGGGACAGTAACTATTTTTAAACAATTAAAACATTGAAGACTGCTTTTCCCAAAAGAACTCCAGGGCCAAATGGGTTTACAGATGATATCTACCAAGTTTCTACCAAGAAATAGTTCCTGTTTTATCCAAATTATTGCAGAAAATGGGAAGAGTAAGAGCTGGGGGCACAGCTTATTTACAAAGGCCACAGTTATCTGGTTGCCAAACAAGATAAAGACTACACAAGAACAGAGAAGTGTAGGCTCATTTACCTCATACATGTTGTTTTAGGTGTGCAAAAATAGCTCAGT